CTGATCAGAAAGAAATCAGTAGTCTGTCACGCGTCGTAATCTTGTGTTCACCGGCGTTGTAGAGAAGGAAGGGGTGTACCTGTAATGTACTATGATACTTAAGTGAGTAACGGAGTTAGAAAACACAAGTATAAGGAGAATAGGTGTAGAGAATAATATACCTAACCCTCTAGTGAAAGAGGGTTTTTATAATGAGCTCTCAGTGTAAGTCAACGGTTACATTGCATTGAGCCGGATTGGGCTTAAGTAACTGCCAGGGCTTACGTGGCATAGGGAAGACCAGCACGTGGTCTTCGCCCTGGATCAACTGTGTCGTGATCTTCGGAAGGTGGGCTGACCGACTCTTTCGGAAGTGGGTAGTTGCTTGTTGACGTGTCCCCGCGTGGGGGGCACGTGGAGTCAGTGGGAAAAGCGCGTGAACTTTCCCCGTGCAAAACAATGATTTGCCTGACTGAGGTGCCTTGTTGAGATGCGTGTCCGACAGGGGAGGATTGGGCCTTGTTGGACCTATCTATCGCGGTACTAGATTGGGCCTGTCCGAATGAAGGACATGTTTCGGTCCAGTCCAGAATAGGAGCCCCCAAGTCGTTGCCTCTAAGTGGAGGAGTAATGACTTAAGAGCGAGTTAAGGTGTCGAGGACCAGTTCAGAAGATCGCGGCTTGCCCGACATATAGAGTTGAGGGTTGTGTGCGCCGCTAAGAGCGGCAGATGCTTGACGAGACAATATGTCATGGAAGTGGAAAGCGAACGAATGTGCTTGATCTCTGAGCACAAGGGGAAGACGAACGAGTGCGAAGCGTCTGGTGACGCCACGTGTCAGGGCAATTAATGCCTAGGGCGTCTAGGGATAGGGGCACTCAAGTGCCTAGGGACGCCTCGAGTCCCGTGCTAGGTTTATAAATAGGGGATGAGTCTGTTTCAGTCTCACGCTTCCCTTCTTCGGCTCAAGACGTTCTCTCTTCCCTTTTCGCGCTCCTCCTCTCTTTGCTCCAAGACGTTTGCCGTCCGCCGTCGTCTCGTCCTTTAAGAACCGTCGTGCCAAGTCACAACCATTTTACTCTTATTTTTTCCATTTTCCGATAGTTTCTCCGGTGGACTTGATGAAGGTCCTAAGAAAACTATGAAGTTTCCGGCGAATACGCCATAACTTCTTTGAATTGATACTGTTTTTGACAAAGCCTCCGGGGACTGGCGATGAAGCCCCCGAGGACGTAGGATGAGTGATTCGAGGACCTGATGAAGGTCCCGGAGAGTTGGGATGAGGATCCCGGGGGCATAAGATGAATGTCTCGAGAACCTGATGAAGGTCTCGAGGACCTGGGATGGGATCTCCGAGGACATTAGATGAAGGTCTCGGGGACCCGATTCTCGCCTGTCGAGGTGGGGGAGACCCTCCCTCTAGAGGTGCCCCTCTCTTCGCCCTTTCGCTTGATTTGTAGTGAAAGGGTGGATTTGATCTAGAGTGTCGAATTCACTGTTTTCCTCTACTTTTCAGATAAAGATGGCTGCACAGATTGAAGGGGTCGTTGAGATTGACGACAACCTAATTCCCCGATAGCGCAGACCGGCGAGGAGCAAAAACGGACTGTCATGGATTGGGCCGGGCAGGAGCCCCTGAGTATTTCTTCTCACTTTGCCGTGGATGAATCTGACGCCTACGTCACGGTCGAGGACTGCTGTGAGGGTTCCCCCATGAACTGGCAGGTGTATAAACCCCGAGCAAACCATCAGATATGTTCGTCTTTTAAGGGGATGAGGTTCCTTATGTATGAGTTTATCTTTCGAGAAGCGGGTTTGCGTCTGTCCTTTACTGATTTCCAACGGAGAGTGTTTGACTGGCTGCGGATGGCGCCCTCACAGCTCCACCCCAACGCGATCGCACTCGTGCGGGCGTACGAGCTCGTATGTCGGTATCTCAACGTCGGGATCACGCTTACTCTTTTCTTCCGCATCTTCCATCTTCAACGACAGAAGTTCGAGGATCAGCATAGTTGGGTGTCCTTGAAGTAGCCGAGGAGATTGTTTCGGACGTATCTAAATTTCATCCGTACTTTCAAATACTGGTACTACGTTCTCAAGCTCGTCACCCATACGGCTGTGGACTCACTGTTTGACCTCGTGGTCCGGGAGAAAGACGGGCAACCGGAGGAGGTCTTAAAGCCGAAGTTCCCGTTGACATGGACGGATGAGCATTTTAACAAGTGCACGGACAACTACATAGTAAGGTCGGGCTCGTTGGATGCTGATGACCAGGCGGCCTACTAGAAGCTAGTCGCATTTGTCTCCAATTTCACTCCCGCGAAGTGTGTGACGCCGGACGAGAATTTTATCCTCGACTCTCGCGGAGAGGTTCTTCGGGAGTCGCGGTTGATTAACATGAATGCCCTTCTCGAGTGTGCGTCCGAGGAGAAAGCCTTGCGGTTTTTAGGTAGTGGGTCTGTCTCTAGCTCGAGCTTTCTCTGTGTTTCCACTGTTGATTTGTGGTTTGTTAACTTGTTTATTTTTTCTTTTGCAGGCAAAATGTCTAGCATGCAGGAATGTGTAAAGAAACTGGCGGCCAGCAAGGACAGAAAGTAAGCCGGCAAGGGGCGAGTCGCCCAAGTACAGGAATTGCCCGGTCCCGACCATAGGCTCGGAGGCTCATCCTCTTCCCCCTAAGGCAGCCAGTCTCTATCTTCGTAGGAGACGTCAAAAAGGCAGCGGGTCAGTGAGCCCGAGACCGTCGATCTTACCGAGGGTAACGTCGAGGAGAGGTTCGCGCTCCCGCCATGCTATCTGCAGCCCGGTTTCTTCTGCAAGGCCAATTTTCCGATTGTGAGCACTGCTGAGTCCAAGGTCATCCTGGGCGTCGACCGGAAGACATGGAAGAAAGCCTTATCAGAGGACTTGGTCGCGGTAATGCGGGTCTTTGAAACGGTTCTGATCCTCAACGACGAGACCGAAGGTCTTCCGATAAAACTTTCTTCCTTGCCTTTTGGTCGACGCCCAGGATTACCTTGGACTCAGCAGCGCTCACAGCCGGAGAATTGGCTCCGCAGAAAAAATTAGGCTGTAGATAGCATGGCGGGAGCGCAAACCTCTCCTCGACATTACCCTCAGTAAGGTCGACGTTCTCGGGCTCTCTAATCTGCTGCATTTTTGATGTCTTTTGCGAAGACTGACTGCCTTGGGGGGAAGTGAATGAGCCTCCGGGCCTGTGGTCGGGATCGGGCAATTGCTGTACTTGGGTGACTCGCCCCTTGCCGACTTTATTCTTCTGAGCTGGAAAACGTCGCTCTTTCCGGGGAGGTGGCCGGTCGCGCTTCCGAGAAGTCATTGGCTGTGGTCGCTCCAAACGAGGGCGACGCCCATTCAGTTGGGAAGAAGAGCTCTGAAAATCGTCGACGTGCTGCGTCCTTCGCGGGGGAGGAGAAGGACTACTGAAAACTGGGTGGCGACGTCTTCGCGGGGGAGAGCGTGATGGTCGCTCCCTCTCAAGCATTCATGTTCGCTCATTCTGTTGGAAGATCATCAGGTTAGTGTGGTTGATCGCCGTGAACAGAGCCACCATGATAGGGTCGGTCGGTGCCTGCTGGCATCAAGATGGGCTGGTAGACAGCCGGGCTACCGAAGCGCCGGAGGCGTTGAAGGCCGCGTCTTTCGAAGAGGGAGATGTAGTGCGCCTGTCTCTATAGTCGCCCTCGTCATTGGAAACAGTCACGTTGGGTTCGTGGTCGTCCCCTTGGTGAAGGAGACGAAGGCGGTTTCTGAAGCATTATCATCGCATAGGCTGATCATGATCAGAATGAAAGTTGAAAGTTATTTTGGTTCTTGAGTTTCTATGCTTGAATAGGAGAAAGAACGGAGGAGGAAAGGATTCCCACAGACGGCACCACTAATCTCACCTGATCAGAAATATAGTCTGTCACGTGTCGTGAGCCTCTGTGTTCACCGGCGTTGTAGAGGAGAAGAGGGTGTATCTGCAAGGTACTCCGATGCTTAAGTGAGTAACGGAGTTAAAAAACGCAAATACAAGGAGAATAGGTGTAGAGAATAAGATACCTGATCCTCCAGTGAAAGAGGATATTTATAATGAACTCTCAACGCAGGGTTAATGGTTACATTGTATTGGACCGAATTGTCAAGCCTAACACAAGTAACTGCCAGAATTTACGTGGCATAGAAAAGACCAGCACATAGTCTTCGCCCTAGATCAACTATCCCGTGGTCTTCGAAAAATATAGACTGACTGACTCTTTCGGAAAAAGATAGTTGCCTAAAAGATAGTTGCCTGATAACGTATTCACGTAGTGACTCTTTCGGAAAAAGATAGTTGCCTAAAAGATAGTTGCCTGATAACGTATTCACGTAGAGTCTGTGAGAAAAATACGTGAGTTCTTCCCGTCCGACTGAAATGCCTTGTTAGAGTACATGCCCGACTGGAAAGAATTAAACATTGTTGAGTCTCTCCATCGCAATACTAGGTTGATGCTGACCAATTGAGGAGCAGGTTAGTAAGTGTTTCTTATCTTTCATATGTTTCACTGTCTATTAACTTATGCATGTCATTAGTGATCGATTCTCATATGAGCTAGCTTTCTTGAAGCTCAAATTGTTTAGTTTTCACCAAACATAATGAATCAATTTCCGCAATAATAATATTATATCCACCATGATACTCTACCCAAATTGTTAATCGAGATTTGTCTTATCTTAAATATCTTACTATATTAGGTTGATCTTACTTTTAACCTCACCAACTGGCTAATTATCTGTTAATGTGTTAATGTGGGAAAGTTCCCCTCAAATTCACCCTAACATTCCACAGGTATGTTGTTATAACACAGCCTCTTTAATCTCATCCCTAATATCAATTATGACAAGACATATTCCATGTAGTTTATATATTATTATTTTATTTGAAAAGGTTAATACATTTTAGAGCAAAATGTACTGCATATACATCATACATCATACTACACAACCACAAAAAGCATTGCACATAGATCACGAGCACCCCCTATGCATTCACAACGGTTCCACCTGAAAAGTAAAATAAAAAATTATTAGAAAAACCATACAATGTGCATAAAATATAACATTTAAGCATATGTATGTGTGTGAATCACCATTAGGGTGGAGGACTTGGCCAGTTATGTAAGAGGAGCACTGGTTGGAAGCAAGAAACACAAAGGAAGGAGCAACCTCAATAGGCTGCCCAGCTCTCTTCATTGGCACATCAGAACCAAACTCAGCAGTTTTTTCTTCCTTGAAAGAAGCTGGTATTAATGGAGTCCAAATAGGCCCAGGTGCAACCCCATTCACTCTTATTCCCTTGCTCACAAGCTGTAGTGAAAGTGCCCTTGTAAAGGCCACAATTGCACCCTTAGTAGACGTATAGTCAATTAATGTTGGGTGCCCCTTGTATGCATTCACTGATGTTGTGTTAATAATGCTACTTCCTTCCCTCATATGCTTCAGGGCATGCCTACAATGTACAGTCAAACCCAAAATCATGAAATCATCTGTTTTATTTAATTCTAATTAAGAGTTTAAAGACTGTAATAATTTAATGAACATTCATATCTAAATCCTTGTTAGAATGTGTAAAAAGTAAATAAAAAACTATAGAAACTTGTAGCTTAAGTAACAAGTGCATTCATTATTACTTAGTAGGACTTTTATTACCTTGTCAGGAAGAAATAGGAGAAGATGTTAGTTCTAAACACCCTCTCAAGTCTTGGTTCATCAATCTCTTCAACTGAACCACACTCATACTGCTCAGCTGCATTGTTGACAAGAATGTCAATTCTTCCATAAGCTTTGATGACCTCATCAACCACTCTTTTGCAATCCTCATCAAAACCAAGGTCAGCTGGTATAGCCAGTGGATTTTTAGCATCTGCAGACTTTGCCCTTTTTATTATAGCAAGTGTGTCCTTTGCGTCCTTCTCCTCATGCCCCTTCACAAATGTGAAAACCACAGTGGCACCCTCTAATGCAAATAAATTGCATACTGCTCGTCCTATTCCAGAGTCACCCCCAGTCACTAATGCTATCTTTCCCTGAAAAACAAAGATTGAATTATAGATAACTACTTAAAATATTGTACGAGTTTATAGAATTATTAGTTTATTACTTGAAGCTTATTTGCTGGTATGTAATCAGGGCTAGTGAATTGGGGTGTTGGATTCATAACATGTTCTTTGCCAGGTTGTGTGTCTTGCTTCTGAGGAATAAATGTTTGTTGATTAGTAGCCATTTTCACAGACAAAAGCTAATTATGAGTTACTGAAAATATAGAGATAATTTTTCAAAAGATGTCTTAGAACAAAATGTGTGAGGGGTGTGTAAACATATATACTAATGGGTCAGTTTGATTTTGGTTGTACGTGTGAAGGATGATTTTGGCTTCTGTTTACACGTGTTTTCTTGTAGAGAATATGAGCATGCCAAGTGGTGAGGAGTGGCAGAAGAAGGTGATGACGTGTGCTATTGATGGCATGCAACAGAGACACATCAGTAGAAAAATGGACACTCTGGAAAACAACTCAAGAGTTTGAGTTTGTTTTGGACATGGCTATAACATGCATACTATGGTAACATTTTCGTACTAGTAATGGTTAAATTTGTTAACTATTTTATTTAATGTTGTGAAAACTAACTAGATAATGGGTTTAACTTATTACTTGCATGTCAGCCACGTGTGGAAGAAGCACTTATACCTGTCACTACCTAGGCTCCATTTTTACTTCATCTCTTTAGAGTTTTCAACTTTTCTCAAGTTTATTTTATTCATTCTTCGAAACATCTTGCCCTTTAGAACTCAACTACTTACCATGGCTTGCTTCAATCTTAATCTCCTACTTCTTGCATCTCTATGTGCTTTCCTTTTCCTTTCCAATCCAGCTCACTCTAGTGGTACTCTTCTCTCTAACACTTTTTAAATTTTCTGTATCTCTTTTGGTTACTTTTCCAGAAAATTTAAGTTGTTTTAGTATCTTCAATTGAGCTATGCATCTTTTTCATGTTTCTGCATTAAACTTTGAGGGTTTTTATGAGAACACCACGCAGTTCCAAGTATACTATGAATTTAAATATGTTTTTGATTTCTGCAAATATAATGTTTTTCTTAGTTCCGATTTAAAAAAATTCAATGTGCAAATAAACTATTCTGTGCTTTTTAGTCTTAATTGTAAAACAAAACAATAAGACCAAAATTTGCATGACTAATATAAAAATAAAAAAAATAAAAAATTGGTAATGATAGTTTTGGTTGATTTGATTTCATAACAAAGAGTTGCTTACTATTGATAATGATTTTCTTATACATGAACACACTTAATTTGTTTGATTAGACAAAGTGGACAGTGTACTGAAGGGAATCAACAGCTACAGGCAGACAAAGAATCTTGCACCACTGAACAAAAATGACAAGGCAAGTTGTTTAGCTGATGAAGTTGCTGAAGAAATACAACACACACCATGTGAAAAAGTGACTCAATACTACCCAACTTCTGGTCCTGGTGGAAACCTAAGAATTCCCAATTTGCTAAGACATGTTGATAAATGTGATATTAACGTTAACACTACAGCAGATGGAGTCATTCTACCTGTTTGTGTGCCTAAATTGGAACCAACTGTTGTGCTATCTAGTTACACTCATAATGATATCTATGCAAAGTTTCTCAACAATTCAAAGTACACTGGAGTTGGACTTAATTCCGAGGATGATTGGATGGTTCTTGTTCTTACTACTAATACAACTACTGGAACTTTCTCTGCAGCAACTTCTCTTCATGCTAATGTTGTTTGGATGGCTTTGTTGTTTCTTGTGATTCTCATCATCAATTACATACCTTGAGTGCAGTGCTTAATTTCTAGCTTTTTAAAGCTTCATTATGGATAATGGATAATGTATGAAGTTTAATTACTCTTTGTTTTGGTTGTGTAAATGTAGTATGGACTTTTTGGTAATTAATTTGTAATGTGTTTTTAGTGCTTACCCTTCTATTATTTCTTCTATTATTTCTCACATGACAATCACATTATATACATAGATTAATTCATAACACAAATATGCATAGGCTAACCTTTACTATCTATTTGGATAATTGTCACAATCCAATAAACAAATTAACATACACAAGATTTTTTATTCTCAAATGCAAACTTGCTTTTTCAAGAAGAGATAAAAACTTCTATTCACATGTGAGGCTAAGTTCTCACACTAGAATTTAACACCTACCTGTTATGCAAGGGGTCAGGAGAGGAGGGTACTTGTCTATTAACTGCAGTGTAACACCCTCCAGCTTCTGTTTCATTTTGAATAAGTTCCACGTTTACCTTCACATATCTAGCATCAAATTCATGGTCATGGTTTAAAACCAAAATGATTAAAAACAATATCAGAAATAAACACTTCACTTGAGACCTTGAAATTGACATCATTACGTTACAATATAATATATCATTAACTTTCTTCACTAAGCTTCTTATAACGAGGAGTTGAGGTGGAAAATATAGTCACATCATTAAGACTAACTCTTCTATAACCAAATGGATTTATAGAAGAACAGTGTTTACCATTATTAGATTAATGAAGAGAATCTTGATACTCTTGACATCAATAATTGTTTGTGCGTGATGTGTGCACTGTTGGTGTATTGCAAGTCAATTAAAATACTCTTTTTTTTTTCAATATCATGCCTAACCAACCATGCATAGTCATAGAGAGCCCTAATTTCAGGATTAAGGATTGACTCTTTGTTATTAATTGTTTCATCTCATGCTAAAGTCTAAAATCTTAGCTCAATGCTTATGACTTTTTGATGCTTGATGGAGTTTTCATTCACATAACAATTTCTCACAAAACTAAGCTATTGTCCTGTTAAAGGGCATCTTTTGAGCTCCTATTTTGTTTGGCTTTATAGTGTGCGTTTGTATTGACACTGAAATTGTTATAATGAATATGAACTATTATAATTTTGGTAAAGGATAGTACATTTTATAGTTTTTAACTAAATCGCCGCAATTTTGCCAATTCCACCACAAATCTAAGCATGCTTTTATATTAAGTAACCTCTTTTAATCCTTGTGTTAGGATTCATCTTGCTTCCAACTCATGTAATTGGTGTCATATTCTATTTCTCTTTTTTTTTCTTTCTTTTTTTCATAATTGATGCAGCGCATTGCGAGTTTTGACCATGAGCTTCAGTTCATTCCTTTTGGCTTGTTTCTAATATTAGTTATCAAAGTTCTCAAGGGTTTGGTATTAGACACAAGTCTTTAACTTTAGTTGCCAAAGATTTAGATTACATGCAGTTAAAATATGCCACAGTTATTTAACTTATCACATCTTCACTGTCAAATCAATAAACCCCCAACATCAAGAGCTTAATTGAAAATTTGTCTTCAAAATCCCAAGTTGCACTGGTAATATGAACAACAAATGCAGAATGCTTCTATATATTGTCACAAATGAATGAATACACAAGGTTTACTATGAATTATATTCATGAATTATATTTCAATTAAACTGTATTAATGAAATCCTACAGGGACAAAAAATATCTCTTCAATATATATTTTCACTCATGCATTCCAGTTTCATCTTAAACTGATACTGTAAAGAGGTATATCTTTAAAACAACGGATAGAGCCAACTGCAACAGAAAAATGCCAGCAACGATGAAGAACCACTGTTCCCCTGCTGACTTAATATGAGCCCGTAGGTTAAGTGCAACAAATGTTGCTGACATGAACCCTGCCACACCTGCAATCACCCATCTGAATATATCCAGTGGGACAATGGACATGCACTGCACCAAACAAAAGGGTTTCACATGTGAGGATAGAATGCCTTGAATATGTCAAATTCTTTACCTCCTTAAAATGAAAGGGAGAAAGTTGAAGATAAGTAGTGACTTACCAGAGCTGGAATAAAGATAAACAGGGAATATCCATATAGGCAGAATAGTTGAACAAGTCCCGCCGGTACAGAGAAGTATTTGAGGATTACATACAGGCCAAGAGGGACGATAGTAACATAGCCATAAAACAAACCAGCAGACCAAGTCACCAGATTTATGTCATAGTTCCATTCTTGATCCTTCAGCTTGTGTGCTATATATGTCACAAATGTGCCCATAGATGCTGCTAGAAATATTAATGTAGTACAAATCCAGAATGGCCCGTACCTGAGTACATTTATGGTGAACTCAAAATTACATGCTGCCACACAGCTAAAAGAACAAAGTTTGCTCCTTTTTAATAAGGCAAAACTACATATCATGTTTCCTTCAAAGTTAAAAAATGGGTAACATCCTCTTCTTAGAACACCAGTATTCATGTAATAATAAATTACGCCACATACATTGTTTCCACAAATAAACATGAAACTAAACAACACTGGCAGATAATTGAATTAGAGCAGAATAGAAACAACATTAGCCATGGAATCAAATTCATAACCAGCACAGGAGTGGCTCTTAACTGATACTCCAACCGTTCAAGCTTTTAGGAGTGGACTACCTATAGAAGAAATAAGTATTGCTGGATAATGACTAGTCTATGCCTCTATGGCTTAAGTAACTATTCAATCCCAGTAATATGCACCAATTTTAGCTTTAATCCCTACAAAGCTATAACAAATGTTTCCCGGTTCAAATCCCTAAAGTAAAAGTTACTTTTGGTCCTTGTTTTGGTTTAAGCCATTGTTCGTATGTTGGAATTAATCTCCATAATATGTAGATCATATTGATATCAGTCCCAGGATAGGAACTAACAGAAACTGATTCTAACATGGACAAAGTATTGCATGGATTAAAGCCAATACAACAATGATCAAAAGGAAATTTCATATGTTTCATGAAAGGAAACTACAAGATATTTTTTTAGGGACTAAACCCAAAAAAATGGATTTGGATTTTCTCTACATCTCTCACATCGTTTTTCTATCTATCTCAATTATTTTCTCACTTAATCACCCTTTCATTGTTTCTCCAGCTAATACACATATACTAGACAACCTTACTCCTTATACAAAGTCATCTCTTTTGGTTACAAAATGTAAGAGCTAATAGGTTTTCCTGAGGTATGAGCGAACAATAATAACTTATTAGTGATGCAATACATCACACGGCTGTTTATTATGCTAGTTTCAGTGATAAACTTCTTCACAATAATAAACAGGTAAAAGATAGTTCACCCCAGCGCACCTCCTCTCAAATAAAGGTGAAACATAATAAACTCGAGCATAAAACCCAAAATCATCAATTGTTATAGTTCATCATTAATGTTTTCATTATTTTGGCTCACAAGACATTAACATTTAAGGACAGATTAAACATTTAAGGACTGGTCACGAGAAAAATGATATTAACAATATTCACACAATAATTGAAATATTGGAATATGTCAATAACACATGAGTAAAGTATTATTACTCTGATCAGTCAATTAAATGAGCAAAACAAAGTCTACTTACAAATCAGGGTTGATAGAAGTTTTTTCATTAAATGTTCCTCTGAATGGAAAAACTGAGTCTATAATCCTCTCTAGAACATCTGAAGTGTCGACATCAAAGTATGGTTTGTAAGCAGCAACTGTAAAATTTCGAAGCCAACCACCCTGCTGAGGTTCATCAGAAGAACCACCAGATACAGGTTTTGAAAATGAATCTGCATAAAATGAGTCACTCAGTTTAACATGAACATGTTAACATAATAACCAAGAAAACTAATTAAACAACATAACTTAAACCATAAAATTGCTAGAAGCACAAAAGACAATGTTATAAATAGTAAACAGAAACCCATGTTACCCTGACGGCTCCTTCTTCCAGGCATATTTTTCTAATTTCCATCAGACAATTACATATACAATATAGCTTAACTCAATGTATCATACGGGTGTATCAAGTAAATGATGATAAACAAGTTCATGAAAATCAAAGCTAGATTCATAGGAGTGTTACTTAGCATAGCAGTACTTCAGAACCTGTCAAGCATCGCCAAAATCAGTTAAACACGAATCCCCCCGCAATGTCATTTCATCTACTACACTCTCCGGAACAAAATATAAGCAAAATGTGATTCATATTTCTCTCAACATTCGTAATTTGATTAAATATGATCTAACTACCTTTATATTATGTGTAATTTGATCAATTTTACTAATTTACTTATATTTCATTCCAGATGGAATGTGTTATTATCTATGGATCATTCAACAAAGATAACCCTCACACTAATATACTAATATATATTACAACCATTAATAATATTAATTGCACATTAGCTAGCTATGATGGATTAGGGAAAACACATTCCCATACACAAAATAACAATAACAACAACAACCACCAAGCCTTATGCCACTAAGTGGAGTCGCAACATGGATCAACTTTTTCCATAATCTTTTATCCATGACCATGCTTCTATCCAAATTAATTTCGAGATCTTTCTTAATAACTTCTCTAATAGACATATAGTCTTTTTAGGTCTTCCTATTCCTCTAATTGTTTGACTTCTCTTCATCTGATCTACTCTCCTTACCAAAAAATCTCTATGTTTTCTCTCTACATGTTCAAACCACCTAACATGCTTCTATCCAAATTATTAAACTCGAGATTTTTCTTAATAACTTCTCTTATAGTCTTTCTCTTCCTCTAGTTGTTTGACTTTTCTTTATTGGATCTACTCTTCTTACCAAAGAATCTCCCGGTCTTCTCTCTACATGCTCAAACCACCTAAGTCTATTTTCCATTATCTTCTCTCTACTATAGGTATAGGTGCTATCCCAATATTCTTTCATTTCTAAGCATATCCTTTCTCGTCTTAACCACACATCCAATGCAATCCTCATCTCTGATACTACATTCCCACTCACACTCAAATAAAATATCATACGAAAAATTGGATCAGTTATAATGAGTAAAAAACTAGTGAAATGCATCTGAAGCAAAACAACATAACAAAAAAATTTAAGAGCAGCAATCTCATACCATCTGCATCTCGAGGTGGTCTAGAACCACCGGTAATCTTCCCTTGAGCTTGTGATGGAGGAAATGTCTGAAGATTTGAATCTACAAAAACGAAAAACATTCAACCATCACATCAATTACAGTGAAATCAACTCATCATTCAGGTTAGAAAGAACAGATTCAAATGGAAATCACTTATACAATTGAAATGCAGTATAATTGAAAATCGTAGAGTTTCCATCTACGAGAGTCCGATCTATTCAATTGAACTGAACCGATTAACAAAATCAGAATAAAATTGAAGCTACGAAGAGTTTGTACCGGTGAATTTGACGGTGACAGTTGGTGGATCTGGAACGGCCTGAAAGAAATGAGAGTGAAAACGGAAGAATGGAATTTGGATGGAAAGAAAAAGAGAAGAAAGAAAATCTAACCGGAACAGATCCTTGTAACTGTTGATTATTAATCGATGAATATTTTCCTCCTGATGTCATCATTTCTACTTCTTCTTCTGATCACAGATCCACAGATCTATTTCTTCTTCTTTCTTCTTTCTTCTTTCTTTTGTTCTACACTCTGAGTTTTGATTTTTTCTTTTCTTTCTTTTTCTTTACTCAGCAAATCTATGTTCGGTGGATTATGCTACTCAGTTTTCGTTGCAAGTATAAACTGGATCAGTTTACTCGACGGGTGCAATGGGCCTAGCCCATTTAGGGAAATATTATTGGTACCTCCACTTTTCTTCTACCAAACTGTCCCTACTTTTTTCTCCAAGTGGATAGCTTGGATAAAAGGTGTTCCGAGATGGTCCACAAAGACGGGTCCAAATTCGTTAAAGAGTGCCAATAACTAATGTGCAGGGAGACTTGTATGTATAGATGCTACATAGGAGCATGACATTCCTTCTATTAGAAATGTTAACGTTTAACTGCGATTTATGTTGGAAAAATTTACGATCTACGTTGAAAAAATTTGAGACAGACGTCTCTATATAAGTGTAACTAGTGTAACTCTGACTCAAGTATACTTTCACTTATATTTTTAAAGTTCAATCTCATTCATATATTGATTTGAGTGTTAGAATACTATCTTTTAATATAAAATAATGATGTTGTTTATGAGAATCGTCTTTTAGTTCTCTCACATTATCTTAGTTTCACCACTACAACCATTTTATGTTACAATTTTAGAAAATCATAATTGTTTTCATAACTATTTTTCTATTACTATATTCATGATTGGTTCAAAAGTATCTTAAATATAAAGTTTTATAAACGATTTCCAATCAACTTTTCATATTTTTCAAGATAAAGCTTCACATGCTCTTTCTTTCTTAGGCGATGAACAACAATAATAGGTTTTCCAAGCTTCAATGATGGTTCTTGAACCATTAGTCTTAGAAACTCGTCCAGTTCATTCATTACAAAACTAGATTCATGTACCTTAATTTTCACTTCTTCCTCATCACGCTTTGGCTCCACCACTGTTACATGATCTCCAACAACTTCAAACCTTATTCAGTGTATGAAACGTGAATAAACGCATGTTAAACATTTTTAATCAGCCGGAACAGCAGAATAAGAGGTTGATATGCGTTGAAGAAAACCAAGAGAATATTCCAACTAATATAACAACACAGTTAAAGGTGTTGCAACACAACCACTTCAAAGTTATTTTGGTTGATGCTCTTGTCAACATTGTTCACAATCATTAAGAAATCAAAAGTTTTCAAAGATGCATCACCCTCTTCAGCGGGATAATGATTCACCTCTATATGAATAAGGTGACTGAGTCACCATTCGTACACCACCTAACGATCATCGTATAAGGAGACCTTCATGCCATAATTTGTGAATGAAGTGTGAGCACAACGCTGCTAAACCGTTCATCACCCATCATTGAAGGAACCCATTCACAAAATGTATCATTGAATGTCACATATTTAAGTCCTTAGAGAATTCTCCAAAACTATAAACTTATGATGGTATTGGAGATCCTGAATAGCACATCAAACACATGGAGTTATGTTAGACTTCCATCAAGCAAGATGAGCGGTGAAATGCAAGCTTTTCATTATGGCCTAAAGGGATTTGTCGTGACTTATTTCAAAGTTCTAGAAGACAACTTCTCTAGTTCTTGGAGAACATTATACAGTGAATACATAGACCATTTCATAGCATGCAAACACCAATAAAAGACAGTAGTCATTTTTAAGGATGGAATTGAATATCTAATGAAAAATGAATACTTGGTAGATACACCAAATAGAACACCTAAAGGGGGAACAATGAGAGAGGCATAAATTCTACATGGTAAGTATTTCGCCATAGTGAATCTCCATGGAGAAAAAATGTACATTCATCGTGGTAATACCTTACTCAGATAAACAATCGAGACGATTGAATGAACCATGAAGAGAATAGACAACAATGTCAAGGAAGATTACAAGAAAGGGAAGCGATCTCTATAGCCTCCATCTGTGATGGTTACCATTTTATTAAGTTAATCATGAGAAGGTTTTAACCACCAAAGATGTCACTTAAGGGAAGCGTCAAGAGAAAAGAACATAATTGTTGTTTATCGATCGTAATTCAAAACCAGCTTCAGGAGAAAACTCTGAATGACCCATTCCATGCTTTATACACAACAAGAAGATAGAAGGTATCTCATATGAGATATTTTTGGTTGGTAACCATGAAAACATAAGAAACATGATGCCTTACGAATTATCATTTACGAGGGAAGTTCGTAAGACATTATGTATACCAAATTATTCACCAAGTTGGGATTGGGGAAGAAACACTAACACCATATTGAAGGTGAGAAAATACTTAGAAGGGGGGTTGAATAAGTATGAAAGTTTTTCTCACTGGATCTTTTCTGTCACTGTGAAGTGGTAGGACACATAGAACCGGAGCTCTGATGCCAATCAGATTTTGCTGAATCAGAGTAATGCAGCAAGTGTGCTTTAGCGTGTAGTTCTATCATAGCAGAGTTTTATGAATCAGATCCTCAATACATGCAGCGTGTAGTACTCTCAAAGTCTTCTGAAAAACTGTGCTTCTTAACTCACATATAAAGTTCTTCAATGCTTCAGAGTCTTCAGATCTATTAGAGTCTTCTGCTTCAGATCCTTCTGTAGCTTCTGCTTCAGATTCTTCTGTAGCTTCTGCTTCAGATTCTTCTGCAGACAACGCTCAGATTCTTCTATAAGATGATTCTGACTCTTCGGAGCCTTCCACAGTTCCATGTTCAGATTAATTTGCTCTTGGATGTAAATGTACTTTAATCATCTGCAGCAAATATTCATGAACAAATTTTAGAGTATATAATTCTTTAATACAAAATTTCATAAGAGTTATCATCAAAACATAGAGATATTACTAAGAAACAATTTGTGTTCTTACAATTTCCCCCCTTTTTTATGATGACAAAACATGAGAAATTTTGTTCAATAAAAAAAATAATTATAACTCCCCCTGAGATTAAGAATCTCCCCTGAAATGAATACTCTAAAGGAAAAGAATACTTTCCTTTTTGCTTGAGTGTATTTCAGAATCAGAGTCTGATGACTTCTTTCAATCACAGAGTCTGGTTTTGCGTTTAGACTCAGAGTACAATTTGCTTCAAGAATCAGAGTCTGGTTGGGTAATTCTCAAGATAACTTCAATGAATTTATTTTGTCAGATGAAACAGTAGAATCTGAAAGACTTAAATTCAAAGATAGTTAATAATATGTCTGAATTTTGTTTTAGTATTTGCTTATGGATTGAACAATCAGATTCTTTTTCTCCCCCTTTTTGTCATAATCAAAAAGATGTGTAAAATTGGATTTTTAGACAAACATATAGCAGAAGTATTATCACAGAAGATAGATACATTACTCTCAAAGATCTGATAGTCCTCTAACTGACTTTTCATCCAGAGCATCTGAGTGCTACATCCAGCAGCAGCAATGTATTCTGCCTCTGTTGTAGAAAGTGCAATTGTGGGTTGCTTTTTGCTGTACCATGAGATCAGATGACTTCCAAGGAACTGACAGCTTCCAGAAGTACTTTTACGCTCTACTCTGTCTTCAGCATAATCAGCATCACATAATCCAACTAATGTATATTTATCAGATCTTCTGTAACACAGACCCACGTTAGTAGTACCTTTCAGATACCTTAGAATCCTCTTAACAGCAGTTAAGTGAGATTCTCTAGGATCTGATTGGAATCTTGCACATAAGCATACACTGAATAGAATGTCAGGTCTAGAAGCAGTTAAGTAGAGAAGAGATCCTATCATACCTCTGTAGAGTTTCTGATTTACTTTCTTACTTACCTCTTCCTTGCCTAGTGTACTAGTTGGATGCATGGGAGTCTTTGCCATCTTACTATCAGTCATGTTAAATTTCTTCAGAAGTTCTTTAACATATTTGGTCTGATGAATGTAAGTGCACTCTGGAGTTTGGTTGAATTGAATTCCCAGAAAGAATCTCAATTCTCCCATCATGCTCATTTCAAATTCTGCCTGCATACATTGAGCAAACTCCTTTCCCAGCATAGTATTGGTAGATCCAAATATAATATCATCCTCATATATTTGACAAATTATAAGATTTTTCTTAAATGTTTTACAAAAGAGTGTTGTGTCCACTTTGCCTCTGATGAAATTTTTCTCCAGAAGAAAATTACTTAATCTCTCATACCAAGCTCTGGGAGCTTGTTTCAAACCATAAAGAGATTTCTTTAGTTTAAAAACATGTTCTGGAAAATTTTCACTCTCAAAACCAGGAGGCTGGTGAACATAAACTTCTTCTTCTATAATACCATTTAGAAAGGCACTTTTAACATCCATCTGATATAGAGTGATGTTATATTGTGCAGCAAATGAAATAAGAAGGCGTATAGATTCTAACCTTGCCACTGGAGCATAAGTTTCAGTGTAATCAATACCTTCTTGTTGACTGTACCCTTGAGCAACAAGCCTTGCCTTATTTCTTTCAACTTCTCCTTTCTCATTAAGCTTGTTTCTGAAGACCCATTTAGTTCCAATTATGTTGAATCCTTTTGGTCTTGGAACTAAGTCCCACACATCATTTCTAGTGAACTGATTTAGCTCTTCTTGCATGGCAATAATCCAGTCATTGTCTTGCAGAGCTTCATCCACAGTGGTTGGTTCAATTACTGACACCAATCCAAATAATGATGCTTCAGAGGATCTGAGGAAGGATCTTGTTCTGATAGGGTCATCCTTCTTTCCAATGATCACATTCTCTGGATGAGAAGCTTTAATCAGAAGTTCACTCACCCTCTTGTTTACACACTCTGATACCAACTGAAGGTGAGAAAATACTTAGAAGGGGGGTTGAATAAGTATGAAAGTTTTTCTCACTGGATCTTTTCTGTCACTGTGAAGTGGTAGCACACACAGAACCGGAGCTCTGATGCCAATCAGATTTTGCTGAATCAGAGTAATGCAGCAAGTGTGCTTTAGCGTGTAGTTCTATCAT